ACCATTGCGTGCATTTAGTCAACATGCTCATGAAGTTTAGCTTAAGGTTCATATCCGTTATCTAATGACACAACAACACAACGTTTCAGACACACAAAAATATCTTGTAGGTTTAGCCAGGGAAACATATGCAGTTATAAGAAGCAGAGCAAACTCTTCCAACCATTAAAGCACCATGAGAACAACTGCAATTCTCACTCCTCTTTCAAGTTATATTTCTCATTCACTGAACATCTCTGTTCTATTCCTTTCATAATGACTAATGTAACATACTTTGTCTTAAGAAATGCCACATGGTTTAGTGGTCTGAGACACTATCATGAAACAGCAAGCCAATGATAGAGTGCAGATCAGAACTCTGCATGGCTTCATACCTCTTTATTCTTCTACCTCACTTTGTAGATCTGTGTAATACAGTGATTCTCAACCAGGGTGCCCCAGAATCCCAGGGTGCATGAGATCCTTTTAAGAGTGTCACAGGGTGCCACACAATACACAGTGCACAGGTGTGAAAATATCTACACACGATTAACAAGATAAACCCAGAAATTTCAAATAGGGATCCACAATGTAAAACCTTCTGACCTGTTGTGATCTTTCTGACTGTTTTGCAGAAGAATAGTGTTATTGTTTTCTATAGTAAAAAAATGAGTGAAAGATAAGAGCTGGCATTTTCTCAGAGGTGGCTTGAGACTAATGAGAGGTGCCCTGAGTCCAGTGAGGTTGTGATAGGTATAATAAAAGGGAGTTATGGAGATATGCTAGATGACATTCTTACTATAGGTCATGTCCAGACGAGCATGGATGTGCAGTATGTGGCACTGCAGACCTGTCTGCAGCACCACACACTGCACATGCAAGTGTTACCCACGCTGCTACCTTTCAGTGCGAGGGGATTTTTTCACCCTAGGATATCCCAGGGTCAAAAAAACCCATGCCAAAAAAAAGGAGGGCGGCACACATGTTGCCCAAAACCAGAGCCTGGCTGGCTGCAGCCACACTCCAGCTGCTGGTCAGGCTCTAGCTGCAGGAGCACTGTGGCTGCACCTCCTCAAGGCCCCCAGGACCCCAGGTAAGGGTGTTGGGGCCAGCATGGTTGCTAGCCCCAGCTTCCCGTACCCCACCCAGGGTAACCTGCCACACAACACAGTGTGTACGGCACAGGCATTCCCTGGGGACAAACAGCATGGCACAAGGTGTGCCGCTGCTACTTGTCCCCAGGGAAACAAACATCCATGCTTGGATGCAACCATGAAGTACAAAGGACCTGATCCAACCTCTGCTGAAGTGAGCAAAAAGGGTTTAGTGGGCAATGGATCAGGTCTTATCTGATGTGTATTGGTGACAGGTCACGCTATGCAGCTTTGAGAATGCTACCTCCAACAATGTAAGTAATACTAATAGCATTTCAGAGACTGGCTGGCAGTAGGAGTAAAAATGATTAAGCTCTCCTGAGGGAAAGGAAGAGAACAAGTAGATGAACTTTGCGATGCTTCTGCTCAATTTCCAAAAATGACAGAGGATTCTCCAAAATGGAGTTCTATAGCAATATATTGGTAATGTATCATAAAAGTGCTCATGTGCTTTGATTGCTGATAGATTTTTTCAACAAAATGCATTACATCTTAATTCTTGAACAGAGATTTCTAACTGATGCCTAAATAATCTGCTTTTAGATCCTATATATTCCACCCTGGGTTTCATCATCCATATGTTTTCTGTCTCAACATATGACACATTCTTGTACAATAATTGGTATAGAGGGAAGGTAGGAACTTCAAACTGATTTACAGGATTTCCTGCCAGTGTTTTGTTGACATGTGAGTATTTTTACATTCTTCCATTAAAACAAGAGTTAGTAAGCCATAATGTGACATTACTGGTCACAAAAAGAAATTTGTAGTATCCCCCATACCAATTTATGACAGCTCATTTTTTATAGTGTAAAAGAATTATATGAGATTTATTTCCACAGCCCTTGATTCAAAGAGATAATCTTATTGTGACTAATTTAGGGCAACAAATCAGAAGATTCAGGTTTTATTCCTGGATCTGTTACATGCTTCCTGTATGACCTTGAAGAGTAAATAGACCAATGTTTTCAAAAGCAGCCATTGTTTTGGTACCTGAATTTGACTTTCTATGATTAATGTGCAACTGTAGTATCTGTTCTGAAACACTAGAGTATTGCTATTCATATTAGGGGTGTCTTAAACCTGTGTAAGTTTAAAAACTGCAAAACTAGAAAAGAAAAAACTTTCACAAGTTCACAGGGGGAAAAGGCTGTATTTTCTTTACTCTCAACATTTTTGGGTGAATAAAAAACAATAAAATTGTCTTTTCACCCTGAAAAGATCACAGTTTTACCCAAAAGATAGAAATGTATCATTTTTTTCCCATTAAGGTGTGTTTCTTGCCAGAAATAACAAATTGTTGCTTCAAAACAAGTTTGAAAATAATAGTGAAGATCCAAATTTTAAATGCAAATACATGAAGGAATAAAAACAGTTGATTCACAAAAAATAATTTGCATCAGTTATTACTGATACTACTGGTATAGTTCATAATGTTATTATAATTTAAATTATTATGATTATATTACAATTTGAACAAAGACTTTAAAATTTTTTTAAAGATATTCTCTTTTCATATCCCTATGTTTTCTTCGAAAGCTGTATCACTTTAGGACCTTGTTTACCAAAATTTCAGACTTTTATTTCAGGCTACAAATGAGGATGTGTTTGCACAAACACTGTACTGCTGGGTTTGAGGATTCAAGTCTGAGACTGTAAAAGGGACAAAATTCAGGTTTGTGGAGTGAAATTTATCCCAGCAAGATAAGCATCCAGTTTGCTCTTGAAGGTGTTCAATGAAGGCGCTTGAACCACCTCCGGTGGCAGGCTGTTCCAGACCTTGGGGGCTCGGACAGTAAAGAAATTCTTCCTTATGTCCAGCCTGAAACGGTCTTGTAGTAGTTTATGACCATTCGACCTAGTCGTCATCCCTTGGGGCGCTCTGGTGAACAAACGTTCCCCCAGATGCTGGTGGTCACCCCTGATAAACTTACAGGTGGCCATCAGATCACCCCTGAGCCTGCGCTTTTCCAGGCTAAAGAGCCCCAGGGCTCTCAGCCTGTCATCGTAGGGTCTGCTTCCCTGACCTCTGATCATACGCGTGGCTCTTCTCTGGACTCTCTCAAGCTTCTCCACATCCTTTTTGAATTGTGGAGCCCAAAACTGGATGCAGTACTCCAGCTGCGGCCTCACTAAGGCTGAGTACAAGGGGAGAATGACGTCCCGGGATTTGC